GGTCAGCCAGGTTTGTAGGTACCTACAGGGAGGCTCAGCAGTTCTCTTGGCAAATGACAAGGGTGACAAGTGGTTTTTTGGGAGCAGTTTTAGATTTACAGAAACATGACCAAAGCAGAGAGTTCCCTTATTCTCACTCCTTCATTGCCTTCTTTCCCAATTTTTCTTATTAACATCTTGCATTGGTAGGGCACATTTGTTACAACTGATGAACCAATTCTGATACATCATTATTAAAGTCCATAGTGTACATCAGGATTCACTCTTGGTGGTGTTCATTCTGTGGGTCTGGACAGATGTATAATGACTTGTGCCCACCATTATTGTCTCAGATTAATTTCACTGCCCTAAAAATCCCCCATGTTCCACCTATTCATTTCTCCCCACAACCCTTAGCAACCACTGACCTTTACACCGTCCCACGGTTTTGCCTTTTTCAGAATGTCATATAGTTGGATTCCAAGTATACAGTCTTTTCAAATTGAATTCTTTCATTTAGAAATATGCATTTTAGTCGCCCCCCTGTCTTTTCATGGCTATATAGATCATTACTTTTCACCATTGAATAATATTCCATTTTCTGGGTGCACCACAGTTTGTTTATCCATTCACCTATTGAAGGTCATCTTGGTTGCTTCCGAGTTTTGGCAATTATGAATAAAATTGCTAAATATTGTGTGCAAGGTTTTGTGTGGACTTAAGTTTTCAACTCCCCTGAGTAAATACCAAGCAGCCAGGTTGCTGGATCACATAGTCAGAGTGTGTTTGGTTTTGTAAGAACCCCCAGGCTGTTTTCCAAAGTGGCTGCACCATGTTGCCTTCCCACCAGCAGTGAATGAGTTCCTGTGGCTCCACATCCTCGGCAGCTTTAACAGGTGTGGCTTTAGCTTTTGTGGTCATCCTGTGAGGCAGATGAGTGATTTGCAGCTGAAAGACGAAATCTATGGGGACAGCCATTGACAGATGTGGGCCCCCGACTGGCCACAGAGCAGAGCGTGGGAAGTACACCAGCTGTCCCTGTGGCACTAGTGATGACTCAGGATGGAGGTGGAGAAACGGGTTGAACCCTCAGGACTCCCAGGAAGCCCATTTTGGAAGGTCAGCACTGATGGTTCCTTGCAGTGTTTCCCAAACTTTTGACATATGTGTACCCCTTCTATAATTTTCATAATGCTGAGTACCCCTCGTACTCACGAGAACGTAGAATTAGGCGCAGCTAAGCACGATGCAGTGCATATCCCCACCAAATTCCGGCGCAACATGTACCCCCACCAAACTCTTCCCGTACCCCTGGGGGTACGCGTACCTCACTTTGGGAAACACTGCCAGTAACAGCGCCCCTTCCCCCAACTTTTCTAGATGGTTTTTCAGATGGACTCTTAATGAAATCACTCAGTTAGTTGCAAAAAGAGCCAGGTGTTGTTGGTGATTTTCTGCTGAGCCGGCACACCTTAGGGCCAGAGAGGAGGCAAGTCCTATGAAATAGGAAGGAAAGTTGCCCTAAGATGTAGCTGCCCTAAGCCAGCCATCTGTGCTTCCTTGTTCAGAGGTCTTGTCCTCACAGGCTCACTCACTCCCCTGCCACCAGTGTAGACGGGTGTAGGTGGGGAGATGCCTCACCAGAGAAAGAGAAGACCAAGGGATGGCTGCACCCCAGTAGCTTCATCACCCGCCAGATGTATATAGCCTTCTGGGCTCTGTTGCTCTCACTCTCTCATACATGTGTACATGCATGTAAATATCCTCCCCCGACACATGTGCAACACAGTGTATAGTGAAGAGGTTAGGTGCCCAGGCTCTGAAGACAGACTGCTGGGCTAAGGTGGGTGCTGATGGCACCAGAGCCCTGGTCAGGTTTGGTCTTGTTGCTCACCTTGCCTCTCACCTATTTAGATTGACAGACTCCTGGCTCGTGACTTGTGATGGGTCGAAGGCCTCTGATGAGATGGGCCTCAGTCATTATTGTAATTCATAGGTAGAATGTGCTTAATTAATTGATCCATTCTGTTGTCTCATGAAGTATCAAATGAGAAGGCATTTTTATTTGATAATCACAACAGAGACCTGGGTAATGATAAGAATGATGAATTCTGTTCTTCTGTTTCCAAATTCAGTCTGGTTGCAGATTAGTTGTCTAGAGCCTAGGAATTATTTTCTTGGGGCTAAGATATCTCTTGATGGGGCTCTGTAGTTTGCCAAAGCCGCCCATCCCCTCTTCCCTCTTGTACTTGTACCTGGTTTGCTTTACTCATTGCTGGACCTGCAGTGGTCCTTTAAGCCTGTGTTCCATTGTATGGGTGTGCTGGGCAGAGGACTGTTATGCACTTGATAGGACCATGCACACACGTTTTCAGAGTTTGGTTTGCCATTGCCCCATAGTTACATAGGGTGTGACCATAAGGCCAACCTCTTGCTATTGTCTTAGCAATTTCATGTGAATCTAAAATTACTTAAAAAAAAAAAAAATGGGCCTCATCCTGCTGCAGGATGGGAATCAGGAGCCAGTTGCCTTTTTGGAGCAGCCAGTGTATCCTCCAGGTGTTTGAGTTTTATTCAGAAGCAGTTCCAGGCACCTGGAAGTGTTCATTTCCCCCAAAGGCAAACAAGTTCATTCATACAAACTGGACTGGGATGAGTTTATGGCTCTCAAAGATGTCTGACTCAGTGGTTTGATATATCCTACATGGTTCCTCCTCATTTTGATAGAAGTCAGATTTATATTAAAGATCTTGGCTTTTATCTGTTAGGTATGATATTCAGATAGTCTTAAGACTCTATTAAAAGATTGATCCAAACTGGAAGACAGCAGCCCTTTTTTATTTCAGTGCTGAGTCGAAGATGAATAAGGGAGCTGAGGGTCAGCCTGTGTGGTGTGAGCAAATGAGACAGAGCAGCCAGATGTAGATGTGACGCACCTGTCAGCCAACTGGAGTGAGCCTGCCCAGCCTGCCTCTTGGGGGTGCTCTGTCACAAACCATGTTAAATTATACCACATAGAAGTGCATATAAATGCCCTTTCCTTAGTTTTCAGGTCATATGTGACTTGAATTCGCATGAGGAGATTAGGGCTAGCCTGGGATGAGTGACAAGACTCTGGTTAAGGAACCCAAGGAAACAAGCTGTAAATCCGCATACATCAGGGAATATTTTTTTTCTCCCACAGGCCTTTTCAAGGCCTGTTAGTTGTTGAGTTTCATATGTTTGCTATTCATATCACAGACGGAGAAAGTGCAGATACCTGTAGGAACACCATGGCAGGCTGTCTAGGGGGAGGGAGCTAATGAAGGGGCTCCTCTGTACTTTTCCTCTAAAGCTTCTGAGATGAATGTGGAGTTCTCAGGGGACCCCTGAGTATATGGTAGTGTCTGCAGTTGGTGCAGATATTCTTTCTGCCAAAGTAGTGCAGAAAAGCAAAATGCAAATATAGCACTGTCTTTGCGGGCGAAGATGTCATCAAGTGCACTGAAAGCAGACGGCAGAGCCAGCAATGGGCGGTCTCAGGCTTTCCCCTGAGTAAACTGTGCTCTTAAATGAGGCAAACCCAGTTGTAGAAAAATTTATAATCCGGTTTTATAAAGTAAACTACCTGAGTATATCAGGTGTGTAGTTAGTGACTGTGAGCATGGAGGGCAGCATTAATATGTATATCAGGTTTTAAACATTGATTACTATGGGGAAGTGGTGAATGGAACAGTAAACAAGGGAATAACACTTCAAACAGAAAAAGATTAAAGGAGTGTGAAAGATGTTTCATCCACATAAAATTATATTTAGGAGTGTGTGTGTGTATGTATGTCTAGTGAGGGGTATGATAGAAAAATTATAAAAATGTTGGGTTTATTTTCAAGGCTGTGGATTTTCAGCTGATTTTCGCATTTCTTTTTTAAATGTGTTCTAAATTTTAAAGTGAGCATTTTTACTTTTAAATTTATTCTTATGAGCATAAAAGAAACCCAATCTTACAGCTATTTTGCTGTGAGGAAATGCTCTAGCTCATTCAAAAGCATTTGGGCATAGGGCTTTGAGGGGAGGAGCAGAACAAGAAATGGGGAGGAGGCACCTCTGTCTGGGGTAGCTGGTGAAGCAGCCAAGTCCAAGTCCTACAGGAGACAGAGAACAGCTCTCCTGAGCCTTAGGTGCCGACAGACCTGGGTTTGGATCTCTTTAGTGTGCCTTACTTGTGACTATGGTTGGAGACCTAATCCATACCCCAATTCCTCTGCTATAACATGGGGAGAATATGATAGTGTCATTATGCCTGGCATATCGTAGGCACTTAATAAACATTTTCCCACTGAATGAAGAATGAATAAATGAACGAGTGTGTGCTTGATTCATCAAGGTCATATATGTATAGTCTGAGCTATGTCATAAATACTCAACAAATGGTGGTTTTCTGTCCCTAATCCCCATATTCTTTTTCTTAGCCAGTGTACCTGGAGAGGAAATTGAGCAGAGTAGGGTCTTTTAGCCTGAATTCCATGCTTCACAGCATGATCTTACAAAGGGATAGACTTTGTCCACTGCTTCTCCTCTTTATGCCTCATCTCTAAAATTGATGTCCTGATAATACTTGGAAGGATTAAATGAGATACCTAAAGACTTCATATGATGCCTGGCAAATAATGAATATCTTTTTTATAATATAAAAAAAACATTTTATAGTTAATAAAAATATTAAGAGTATTCCCCAGGTTGAATATACAGTACTTAGTTTGTTCTTCTGTAAATGGAGAGTATATTACAGAGTGCCTGGCACAGAATAGTTACCTAACAGATTGATAGATTCAAATTACCTGAGCATAGCACATCAGCATCCTGATTTTATGTGCACTGGAACCAGTTAGCTCATTCCCATCATGAAAGAACAGTTCTTGAAGGCATTCTGCACATGTGCCTTTGTTAACTCATCTTTTCACACAGACCCCTCCCCCAACCCCGGCCTTCAGTCTAATTGCCAATTTTTAAAAATATTTTTTTAAACATTCTTCTACCTACAGGGAAAATGAGGTGCTCAAAGTCCAGCTGAAGAAGTATGTAGGAGCTGTCCAGATGCTGAAAAGAGAAGGTCAAACAGCTGAAGGTGAGGGGGAGACCAGCCTGGGTGGGAGGGGGCTAAGCCTTTGCATTTTATCACTCCTGTGCATGGCACATAGTAGACACTCAACAGGTAACCAGTGCATATGCGGATGAATTAGAAAAGCAGGATTCTGAAAAATTAATTAGATGGAAAACCCTGCTGTGTATTCTTGTTAAACTAATATTGTAAGACTTATTTGCTAGATTATTAACAGTCATATCAATTTGTGTACTTAGGGGATTTTAAGTCTAGAGTCTTGGGACACCACTTATAACCTAGCAGCATGATTACGTCGCGTTGGCTAGGGGTGGGAGCAGCAGAATGCCAACACAGCGGAGATCCAAGCTCTGGACTTAGGCTGATTAGCTTCCAGCCCAGCTCTGGTTAAGTTTCCTTATCTCTCTTCACCTCCATTTCTCATGTATAAAATAGGACTCATTGATAATGTCTATCTCATGAGGCAATCCATGTAGACACCTACCATAGAGGAAGTACTGAGTAAATGTTAGTCATTACTAATACGTATTATTAATCAGGAATACAAGTAGATAGAAAAGTGATTAGCCTTTCTCCAGATGGTCAGTTGCAATGGAGGAGTTGTCCATTCACTGAACCATACTTCTGCCCCAGCACTACTGCCCTAGCACTGTCCTCAGGAGGCCCCTCAGTAGCTGCAGTCATCACAGCTCTTGGAGAAGGGCCTCTATCCTGGGGCCATGTGCCTGTGAGGAGACCTCCACCACAGTAATGCCCTCAGCCTCATTCCCTACCTCCTACCTGATTGCTGAGATTCTCAATTGGGTAAAGTGATGCATTACAACAACATCCTGATTTTATGGGCACTGGAACTAGTTAGCTTACTTCTATCATGAAAGAACATTCTGCAAATGTGCCTTTGCTAACTGGTTGTAGTGGGCATCTGTGTCCTCTGTGGTACCCATCCCACTTGCTCTGGTTTTCATATGACCAGCATCCTCAATCAGTGTCATCCTCAATCAGTGTCAGAGGTGGGGCTCCACCCTCTGTCCTGCGCTTGATCTTAGCTGGTGCTCTCGCTGGGTCTCAGGCTCTGGTAGGCTCAGGAAGGGTTCTTCCTCTCTGTTGGCCTTGGAGGCTGTGGATGAGGCCATCACATACAGAGAGGAGCTGAACTGAGAGGCAGAGAGGAACCGAGTCTGATCAGGTCCTTTGAGGCCTTGAATTCAGCTGTATCTGATGTGATAGTTCAACTCTGAACTTCTTATTGATTGTAACTGATAGTTCAATTCTGAACTTCTTGTTGATTATAACTATAACTGCACCAATCCCCTGCCTCTGTTTTCCAGCTTGAGTTTCTTTTTGAAAGCTTATATGGTCCTGACCAACTGTTAGTTCCTTACTGGATATGGCATCCATTCTGTCCTCGGGGAGGGTGGTGTTTCTCCGGACTCTGTTTTTCCAAATGTGCAGTGTCTGCTGCTGCTGCTGCTATGTGAGGCTCATCCTCTCACCCTCCCTCTTGTTGGGTTCACTCCACTGTCATCTGTCCCAGCCATTACAGGCCCATCCCGTAGAGATGGATTTAAGGCTGCAAGCTCCTGTTGGCTTCCCCCTTTAATTAATCTGCCATAGGCTCAGGGATAGTGGGAGAAGAAATGGCCTGTTGCCAGTGGTGATCAGAGTAATTGGGAGATTTACTGGAAGGAACTTGACATTTCAAATGAGGGAGGCTTGGGAACAAATTCTTTAACAGTTTGCCACTGCACGTACTTCATGCTCTCACTTCAGGGTCTCGGTTTTCCTGGGCTTCAGAAAAGATGACTTGACAGTCAAGGAAATGGTTGATCATGGGTGAGAGGGTTCTGGGGACATTGTTTCAGCCTCAATTATGTAGGCCTTGGGCTGTCTCTTCTTGGTCAGCCTCATGTTCTTGCCCCCAGTGTGCACAAAGGCAAGGACATCTTTATTTGAGGCCAGCTTCTTGAGTCGTAAGGAAAGCTAGCTCATGACTGTGTGTGTTTGTGTCTGGTTCTAGAGGACTATTCAGCCTCAAGGGATGATGAATCAGATCCCATCACTCTGCTGCTTAGAACCCCATTGCACACTCTTTGATGGTGGCCTCAGGCTCTGTGTGATCTGGGGCTTCCCCATGCTCTGGCCCCATCTCTCTCCACCCTCCCCTTGCTGTCTCACCCCGTCATACTGGCCTTCAGGCTGATTCCTCCCTCAGGGCCTTTGTCCCTCCTCTGGGCTGCTCCTCCTTGTCTCTGCATGGCTGAGCCTGCCTTGGCCAACAGGTCTCTTTCAGATGCCACCTCCCCCCCCCCCCCCCCCCCCCCCCCGCTGTGCCTTCTCCTTCACTCTTTATTCCATCACTTCCTTTATTGTCATCACAGCACTTGTCAGCACCTCAGAGGCTCCTGGTTGTGGATTCCCTTCTTTGCTGTCTGTCCCACCCTGACAGTCCACAAGGGCAGGGGCCTTGCCTGTGTTCCTTGCTGTGTTCAGAGCGCCTTGCGTAAACTTAAACCCATTCATATTTATAATTCGATGAGTGGAAACCTAAGAGCAGCTGTAGTAGGACCTATCCGCCTGCATTCAGGTGCCTGAAGGTCCATGGTAGCTAGGAGAGCTCAGCAGTGCCACCCAGTGAAGTGCCATGATGTGCCCCTCATAACTACTGCTTTCTGCTGTGCCTTCGACCAGATTCTTCAGGTCCTTGTAACTACCCTTAGCACATGACTTGATTCCCCCATGGTTCCACTATTCTTTTGTGACAAGAATCATAAGATTCACTTTACCCCTGCTTAAACAAAACAGAAGTCTTGAAGTTCCCATATGCAGGGACGGCTTGATCCAGCGGCTCAAACAATACCAGTATATTTCTCCCCCATTACTCAGTGTCCTGCCTCCCTCCCTCCCTCCCTCCCTCCTTCCCTCTCCCTCTCTTCCCCCACTCCCTTATGTATTGGCTGTGTGTGCTGGTAAATGTTTAACATCTAGCCCTCCGGGAGGAAAGGGTGCTTGCAGGTTCCCATGGTGTGCATGCGCCCACTGTGCTAATTGCAGGCTCATGGCTGTGTCATGAGTGCAGAGTGGGAAGAGGTGTGTACACACACACACACACACACACACACACACACACACACAAGGTTCCTTGCACTGATGCCCAGGTCCGTGCCCCACTGTGTGTTGGCTCAGGCAGGTGATCTCATGCTGGCAAGAGGCTGCCAGCAGTTCTGGTTTAATCTTCTCAGCAACCTGGCAAGACAGGAGCTGCTCTTCCCACTAGTTTCCTTATAAACCATCTGCCCTCTCTCCCATGTAGAGCCCTGGTTCTTAATCTTGGCTTCACATTGAGTCATCTAGCTTCACATTGAGTCATTAAACATCCCAGTGCTTGGCCGTTGGAACCACAGCCTTGTAGGATATCATTTCCGAATTAATGGCCTTTAGGGTCAGCCAATATGTTGCAAATGTGCCAACATTCTCCAATTCTCCGCCAGCAGTAGCTGTCTCAAGTCAATCAAGGTTACTTTTTTTTTTCCTCTCTTCTTAAATTTAGATTTGGTCTTGGCTTGCTTCTCTAAATAGGTACCACCAATTAAGAGGACCGGGTAGGGAGGCAAGGAGTGCAGTGGAAGCTGTTCACCATCACTGTATGAGCTAATGCGGTGCGTTCCCTGGGCCCACCCACCATGGGATTCCATGGGATCCGAAGTGAGTGTTCACACATTTCGCCTCTTTACCTTCCACCAAAATGTGGCCTTTTCATCTCTGTCCAGCACCCTCTCCCTCCTCATCACGAGGCTCCATCGCAGTCACACTTGTCTCCCCACCCAACCACTTTCTGATCCTCTCTGCTCATCTGATTTCTTCTTCTGGAAATGCCACTCCCTTTAGCCTCATCAGCCCAGATGTTGCATCTATTGTGAGAGCCAGCTCTTCTCCTCACTTAATCTAATCACCCTAGACCTTTCAGTTTCCTAAGCTCCTGTTACTAATGATGAGTAGTAGCCAAGGTCTAGAATTCCACTGTTTGCTCTCACAAGGGAGTTTGCTGTCCTGTCTTGTGTATGTAGTCTGACCACACAGAGAGGATGAACTGTCTTAGTGTGTGTTGGTCAAGTATACAGCTGGTGTTTAATCAAAACTTGTTGCCAGATTCTATCCAAGACCTCTGAGGCATGATTTCAGAGTGATAGCAAGTTAATATAGATGGGAACAGCATTCTCTGAGAAGGAACAACATTTGGGGAAGTGATATGACAATACTAGATAGGAGGAAGAGGATGATAATTATTGTTACTCCCTCCTTCTACCAGAAGTGACCCACACACTCTGCTCATGATGCTTCAGTGAGGACTGGTCATATGGTCCCACCTAGAAGCAAAGGGGCATGGGGAGGGCTGTGTTGGCTGGAGCGCTGCTTTCCAGCAAGAATGTTAATGCCATGGTGGGCAGCCTGTTCATGCTGCTGTGCTGGGCACTCACTTCAATGCATGTGGTTTCTATCTTCTAAGCCAGTTGTGTGGCTCCTTAGAAAGGAACCTCATATCTACCCAGTACTCTTATTTTTGGATTTGTGCTCTAGGGTCTCAGAAGGAACACCCGGTAGTTTGTAAGGGTCTGCAGTAGAAAGAGTGTCCAAGGATGTGGCAAAGGTACGTCTGTCAAAAATAACCAATTTTATATCAGTCATTAACTGGGATGAAGAGACCATGTTGTCGCCAAAACCGGTTTGGCTCAGTGGATAGAGCATCGGTCTTCGGACTGAAGGTTCCCAGGCTCGAATCCGGTCAAGGGCATGTATAATACATTGGTTGCAGACACATCCCCAGTGGGGGGTATGCAGGAAGCAGCTGGTCCATGATTCTCTCTCATCAACATTTCTAGCTCTCTCTCTCTCTCCATTCCTCTCTGTAAAAAAATCAATAAAATATATTAAAAAAAAAGAGAGACCATGTTGTCCTTTTCCCTTTTCTGAAAGGCGTACACACATACAAACACCCCAATTCATACACA